TTTAAGTTTCTTGTTAAAAACCATTTCAAAGACAAGGTAATTCAATTTAGACGTTTCGACGTTTACGTAACGTCATTATCAAGTCAATAAGAATAAGAAAATACAAACTATATATAAATCATGAAACAATGAAAGCTAATTACAAAAAGAAGATATATGTACAAGAATAAAAGATAATAACAATGATATAATTACATGAATAAAAGGAAAAGAAAAAAAAGGGTGTTCAATGACATTTTATACCCTTTTTTTACGTAAACGTCGAAACGTCTAAATTTAATTGCCTTGTCTTTGAAATGCTTTTTATTAAGAAACTTAAACCAACAATTACACTATAATGCCTAAATCTCTGGAAACTTTGTCTTGCTTTTGCCAAAGCTTTATTATCATATTAGTGGAAAAATGAGTTTCACGCTAGAATCGATTAAGTTTCAATGCGGTCAGTTTGCTCAATAAAATATTATGACAACAGGGCTTAATTGAATTAATCCACACAATCTAACTGAATTAGCAACACAAAAGTGTCTCATTATCAAGAAACAAGGCTACATCATGCTTGGTTGCACCATTTGTGTTTAACCCTAAAAAGGTACACGAAAGAATTTATTTACTTGAATCTATACATATTTCAGTATCTACACGATAATTTTATAATCCTCTATTTACTAATACAACAGACCCTTAAACTTGGTAAGATTTTTCTTTCTTTTCTAAAACGTAAAATGCTGCCTTAATTAGTTGGCAGCGAGAAACAACTTTTAAATGGATTCCGAATTCAAGCATTTTGATTGGACGGTCATAAGTTTCATGCTATTTGATTGGTTTATAGTGGAAGCCATTTGACGGTCATCAGCTGGGATTTTGTCACTCCTGCAAACCTTTTAAGTGCATGTTGTCACGATTTTGTCTTTAAGTTTCGCGTGACTTTCTGAATTCGAAAACAATGAGATTACGATGGCTGAAAAAAGGAAATTATTCAGAATAGAAATTAGATTATTAGTGTTTGTCACGTCTGGTTGACGTCTATGTATTTAACTCTTCCGATGTTTCTCGATTTCATTTCTGCTTCTGAAACAATGTTAAGAATACAGCTATTTCGAAAAAGGTTGAATACTGAATACTTCATACTGAATAGTGCATTCCAAGACCGAAGTGCATTGTGGGTCATAGTGACGATGTCTAAAGTAGGATTAATAATAATCATTTTTAATTTATCAATGATAATAATTTGGTCTTGGAATGCACTATTTAATGGACTTTAGTTTAAGCACTTTAGTTTTAACTTCATGTAGAATCAATGCTGAAAACACCGAGTTAGGAGTCATAGGCACTTTAATCTCAAAACTTTTATATTTTCACGAACAAAAGAATATGTTTTTGTCTTTTTCTCTTGTAGGAGATTCAGTAGTTTCTCTCTTTAGACGCGTGTGGTTGGTATTCATCCCGACCAGCCATGTCATATCGATCTCAGCGCCTTCGGCGGGGCGACAAAGACAGTACTGCTACTGCCAGCACCACCAGCGCCAGCGGTAGTAGTAGCAGCAGCAGAAACGGCCAAACAGTAGAAGAAACCAGGAACAGTTTTATAACTCTCGAGCAAAGCTACAACGATGTCGTTGAAACCAAGGCGGTAAGTTTGATAAGCCTAGAGGTTTTATCATGATATCTGTGAGTTTAATAGCCGTGTCCTGACTTTGATCAGCCCATGCAGAGGTAGTTTCAGGGTATCAATAGAGTTTTAAGGTTTTTAAGGTTAGTTTTTGAATAGTATCATTGCCAAGGAAACTATATCTCAATCCGTCTACTTGAACACAGTATGCCAATATGCTGACAAGAAAATGGTACTAAGCCTCGTTATTGATTTGGACCATTTTCAGGATCTTTTCAAAGATTATCAAGAACTGGAAAGCAGGCTCGATGGAATGCTATCTCAACACGAGAAAGACCAAAAGGAACTGGAAAAGGTCAAAAAAACATTGCAGTTGAAAACTGCCAAGATGGAGGCTTCCATAGCCCACAAGAACGAGATGATTGAAGAGAGAGATAAGACCATCGTCATCCTGAATGGCAAGCTCAAGAAGCTGAACGAAAAGTACTCAAAAAGAGACGTCGAGGCTGTGGCTAGCGAGAAGAAGGCTCATGCTTTCAGTGAAGAGATAAAATCGCTAACATTACGGCTTGAAAAGAAAGAGAAAATCATCTTTGATCTCGAGGAGAAGCTCAGTAATAAGCAGAGAGAGTTGATCGGTGCCAATACGATGGTGGTCAAATTGAAAAACGAGCTTGATAAAGTACAATCTGAATTGGTGATGGTTACCACCAGAGCTGAGAAGTGCCAAGCTGATTTGAAGGTATCCGAGAGGGAAAATGCGAACCTACACACGAAGATCTCGGAGCTTCAGCAAAGTCTACGTAAGAATGAAGATCGCTTTAATAAGCTTCAACTAAACTATGACAACCTTCTTAAAAGTGAATCTGCCTTGAAAGCAAAGAATGCCTCACTGGACCAAGAAAACATTCAACTTAGGAACAAACTCATTCAGCTCGAGAAAGACCTTGAACTTGCCCGCAACAAACCAGTGGAAAAGTCATTTGAAGTGATTTCTGTGGATACCGTGCAGTCTGTGGAATCAGGACCCCCAATGGACTTCTCATTTGATTCAGAAGAGCTTGAAAGAGCGAATCACAGAATCAAGGAGCTTGAAGAGTTGCTTCATCAACACGAGGTAGAAAACAGTGACTTACAGGTCAAGCTTGGAAACTCTAAAGGCCAGATCACGAAGCTGGAATGCGAGCTTGAAAATGCTCTAAGGCACAAGAGCATTGGCGCTGCGGAGCTCGAAGGGGAGAAAGGGAAGCTGGCAAGGCATCTGAGTGAAACCAAAAACCTTACCATTCAGTTGGAAGAAGCTCATAAAGGAAACGAACAACTGAAGAAGGAGATAGCCAAGAGGGACAAGCTGATAGAAGAACTGAGAGCAAAGATAGCTGACTACGACAAGACAATCGAAGATCGAGATGAAGAGATTTTCAGCCTTAATGGAAAAATCGAGTACCTTAGCATCGACAAGGAAAAGCTGAGCGATGACAACCGAGAGCTGTTAAAGAAAATTGCAGAATTGGATTCCGATTATAAGATTAGTGAAGACGACAAAGAAAAGGCAAGTCGCGAGTCAAAGGGACATCTTTACAAGCTTTCAGAATTGGAAGCCAAATTGGTAGAATCCGAGAAAGATCGACGTCTGACCGATGAGCAAAACACCTTGTTGCAACAGAAGATCGACAAGCTGGAAAACGAACTCTACAAAGCTAGTCAAGAAAGGAGCATCTATGAGAATCAAACGGTAGACTTGTCATCTGAGAGTAATAAACACCGTGACATTGCAGCGCTTTCTAAAAAAGAACTCATGGAATTGCGTGGTGAGATAGATGGAATGAGACGAGAGTTAGCCACAAAAGATGACACTATTGCGCAGTTGAGAAGGAAAGTCGACGACTTGAACGAAGATCTTGATGAAGAAAAGAAATCATTGGAAGAATCGAATTCTAGATTTAGTGCTCTCGAGGCAGCTGTAAAGAAGGCTGAAAATGATGTGGAGTTGAAGAACGCCGAAATCGATCGTTTGAATGGAATTCTGGACCGCACTACCAAGGAAAGAAATGACGCCGAAATTCAGCTCGCTGGACTTTTGGAGAAATTCAAGAGCCTTGACACTGGTTCTGGAAGGAAAGTGACAAACAGAGCACAGGTTGATATTAAGGTTTCCAAAGTTCAAGATCTTGAGAGTCAGTTGTCATCCTTGAGGCAGAAGGTGTACTCGCTTGAGAGAGAAAACGATGGCCAAAAACAAGCTGTTAACTTCTTAAAGAATGAAATAACTGATAAAGACGACAGAATCGCGTATCTACAACGTGAGCTTGATAGCAGAGGCATCCACAATGACGACGCTGAAAGAATGTTGGCTGATTATAAAAAGAAATGCATGGTCTTAGAGAAGGAGTTGGACGAAACATTAGCCATCAAGGACAGCATGGAAGAGGAGCTCACGTCTCTTCGTCCGGCAGTTGGCAAACTTGAGACCAAAGTCGAATCTTTGACATTCAAGAAAGAGACTCTTGCGTCGCAGCTTTTAGAAGCCAATGACAAACTGCGTATGGCCAAGGAGGATCTACACAAGGTCCAGATAGAGTTGATGGAAGAACGAAAAGCAAACAAATCGTTAGGCAAGCTGGTCAAGAAGCACGAGACGACAATCGAAGATCTAACGGCCCGAATGAAAGAGTATGAGAACGAGATTGAAAGTCTGAGAAGAAACCTTTCTGCAAGCAATGCCGCCTTAGACGCCCTGAAGGTAAAGAATCAGGAACTGGAGAAATTCATTGCCGAGTTGAAATCTAGAAAGACCAGCCTTGAGCAAGAAGTTAACGAGTTGAGAGACCACAGAGAAGTGATCGAGGGCGATCTTAGCTCTATGTCTTACAAGTTGAGCAATTTGAACACCAAGGTGAGCTCAATTGAAAAGGATAAAACTTACTACCAAGGCGACAGCGAAGTATCTCAAGGAAAGCTCCGTAGGATGAAGAACGAATTGATCCAAGCGAAAAACCAAGTCAGAGAGAAGGACCGCATTATTGAAGATCTGACTGACAAACTCAAAGAAGTGGAATCAAATTACACAACCTCGAAGAGGAAGAACAAGAACTTTGAAGATGAAGTTAATTCACTACGAAAAGAGCTTGAGGCTGAAAAACACACTAATGAGGTCAACAGAGAGAGAATCGCCGAACTTCTGGCTCAGCTGGAGACGATGTCAACTAATGTAGTTGCCCCAGTTAACGTAGCAATCACCGAATCTGCTCCTCCCGTGATGTTCACGGATAATTATGAATCAATGCCTGATGGCAGAGCTGATGAGCTCGAAGCCTTGTACCAGTCAAGCAAAGAGCGTGAAGGAACACTCAGACATGAAGTGGAACAGAAAAACGTGAAGGTCACTCAGCTTGAATCAGAGAAGAAGAAGACAGCGGACAGGTGCATTGAATTAGAGCACGAACTTTCAATGCTGCAGAGAAAGTATCACGACCTGGAACAGAGCTTGAGTAGGGCTCAGCGGGAAAGAGATGACTTCAAGAAAGATTCCATTGAAGCTTCCAACAAGTGGTCTTACTTTGAACAAAAAGCTGAGAACGAAGAAGCGGAGAAAAAGTCTTTGCAGAGGCAGTATAATGATGTGATGTTGAAACTTCGCCAGAGTCAAGAAGAGATTTTGAAGATCGAGGAAAACCTTGTTGAACATCGTATCGAGGTAAAAGGCTTGACAACTGACAAGCAATACCGAGAAGAGCATCTTTCAAAATTCAGGGATTCCGTAAAATTCCTTGAAGATCAGCTGAGTTCTCTGAATGACAGCCTGAACTATCAACGAGAAGAGAATGAAAAACTTAAAGCCGAGCGTGACAGTCTTTTGGAAAGCACCTTCTTAAAGGAGAACACCATCAATAGACTGAAGGCTGATAATCAAAGTCTTATTAACGAGAGAGACCGCGCAGTTGAAGACGCAAAAGATGCCTTTGAGAGGTTGAAAGATCTTGAACAGAAACTTGCTGAAGCTTTAAGGAGAAAGGAAGAGGCAGAAGACGAGATCGAAGAACTCAACACAGAAATCCATGATCTTAAAGATGAATTAACACAGGGTCAAAGAAAGTACAAGCAACTAGAGGAAAAAATCCAAGCTCTCATGGAAGAGTCGGAAAAGGATCAGAAGTATATCGATGAACTTCGAGACAACAAAACATCCTTAGAAGATCAAATTGCAGAACTCAAACGCCTGCTTGCTGAAAAGAATAACATTGCTCCAATTGTACAGGCAGTTGAGGTTCAGAATGTGCAGGCCTCGTTGGAGTCCAGCCCAATGATGGACTTCGGTGACTCTGATGAAATTAAGCGCCTTCAGATTGAGAATGCAGGGCTGAGGAAACAAGTGAAAGAAAGCGAGGCAATCATCGACAAAAATAATAAACTTAACGAGTTAATTGTCCAAGGAGAAGGCAAAATCAGTAAACTGGAGACAGGTATGCACTTATCCCAAAACAGGAACGCAGAGCTCGAGAAAGAACTGGAGGCTTTGAAGAAAACAGCAAAACCACTTATGGAAAAGTATGAAGTGACGATGAGGGACTATGAACTGCAGAAGGACGAGTTGGACAGCTTGCAGAACAGGCTTGGAAATACAGAACTACAGCTAGATCAAGAGAAATCCTTGAGAAGTGATCTGAGAAGACAGTTTGACGACAAACTAGCGCTGTTGAATGAAAGAGAAGAAGAATTACTGGCTGTAAAGAAGAATAATCAGGAACTCCAAGTCCTTCTGAATTCATCTAACGATTCCATCGCTAAAGATAACTTGGTTGAAATGCTGAGAAACGAGAATGAATCACAAAAGATGGACATCGAGAAGCTTAGGAAAGAAATACTGTCTTTACAGAATCAACTGAGGGACCTGTACACCAAGAAAGAAGTGGTTGACAAGAACCTCTTCTCGTCCAAAGAGTACTGTGCAAATCTAGAAATTGACAATGAGAAGCTCAAGCAGAGGATCCAGCAACTAGGATCCAGCCTGAAGGATGCAGACGAAAGAATCCAACAGCTTGAAGAGATGCTGAAGAATTTCAAGAAGGAGAAAAATGCTTTGAAATCAGAGTTAAACGATGCAAACAACACGCTTAAAAAAGAAAAAGCAGAACTTGTCTATTTGAAAAATAAGGTAACTGAATTGCAAGAAATCATAGATGGAATGAAGAGCAGCACATCTGTTGAACTGGTCAGCTCAGGTCCTGGAAACAATTCTTATGAAGTCAGCAAGCTCAGAGCAAAGGTTGACAAATATCGTGAAGATTTGCAAAGAAGCCAAGACGAGATATCACGTCTTCAGCTACAGCTGCGCAATAAAGACGTTTCGGTGTCCAAATATGATAACTCCGATGCCTTGCTCAAGGAAAACGACAGATTGAAAAATGCTTTGAAAAACCAGAAAGCAGAGACCGAAGAATACAGAGCAAGTTACAGCTCTTCTCAAAAGGAAATCGAGAGACTCCAGCTGAAGATGGTATCATTGAACCAATCCAATAGTCATCTGGAGGCAAAAATTAACGCCCTCGAAGAAGAAAAATCTCGACTTAGAAAGCAAATCAACGATTCAGCCAAAGATATATCTGCGTTGAAGATCCAAGTCGATGCCCTGAAGCATGAAAGATCAAGGCTGAAGAATGATCTCGCAATTCTTCAAAAGAAGTACGACAATCTGTCGGCTCAGTTTGCAGCTTTGCAAGAACAGAAAGGAGGAAAGAGTAAAGAGCTTGTCAACATCAAGAAGATAACAGAGCTTGAATCAAAATACCAGGCAGCTCTACGCGAGAAAGAAGAAGCCCGAAACGAGCTGTTCTCGCATCGCAAAAACAATGCCAAAGTAGAGAGTGCTCTGTCTGAACACGTCAACACGAGAGAGACGCTTGAACATGACATTTTCTGTCGTGATAACAGGATTGCTGAGCTGGAGAAAAGTTTGAAGGAATCACAAGATAACCACGTTGCTGACAAGGAAGACATGCTGCAATGGCGAAAGAAAGTCCAAGGCCTTCAACAAGAACTTCAAGCCATGGAACATAAGTATGAGCGTCTTTTGAAACAGAAAGTAAGTCTGGAAAAAACCATTGAGGATCTCAACGAGGATCTTGCAGATGCAAATAAGAGGATCGAAATATTGGAATCTTCCCTTAACGAGCAAGAAGACGATACCGATGGAGGATATTCTGATCACGTGAAGTTACAAAGACAAATAAGCGAGCTGGAGGCACTCCTAAAAAGAGTCACCGAAGCAAAAGACAAAGCAGTGGAGGAATCTCATCAATACAAGGGTCAGGTATGGGACCTCCAAGACGACTTGACAAGGCTCAAAAGTGAAGTGGAACACCATCGTAAGTTAAGCGATGAAACAAATAAGATGAACGACAAGCTGAAAGACGATTTGGCCAAGATGAAGAAAGACACTTGGGAGGCTCAGCACAATTACGGAAACGTATGCAAAGAGCTCAACGAAATGAAATACGCGAACGAGTTGCTTGAAACCGACAAAACGGACTTAGATAAACAGATACGTCGGCTACGTGATGAAGTTACCGACACCCTTTCTCAGAAGGAAGTAATCGCTAACGAAAGAAACGACCTGAAGTTCCAGCTACAGCGCCTACAGGTTGAACTCGCTCAAGCCAACATGGAAACCAACGAAGCAAGAGAGGAGATCGAACATTTGAAGGTAGATCTCTTGAAACTCACTGATGAGAATGAAGCTCTAAGAGCTAAACTAAACAACCAGGAAATAGCTCCTATACAGATTGCTACAGTAGAAACTGTGGAGAGTGAGCTGCCTTTCGATTTCGATGAATTGGATGGCGCCAAACGGGATAGAGATCAGCTGAAGCTAGAGATGGAAGGCGTAGAGACCAGGTTACGTCACCTTGATAATGAGCTTAGTGAAAAAGAGAAAGAAAAGAGCAGAATGAATGAAAATTTGGTCGACGCCAGGAAAAGGATCTCTGTTCTAGAAACAGAAAACAAGAACTTCCAGACGGCTTGTGAGAAAGCTATATACGAACGCGATATTGCCAACCAGAAGTTCGTGGAACAAAGAACTGACAACGAGTCGCTGAAGCAAGAAAAAGAAACACTTCTCATTGAACTCAAGGACCTGCGACCACTGGTCACTGAGCTGGAAGGTGAGGTTCAGCAACTTAAGAGGAAGGTTTCTGGGTACGAAAGGGAACTGGCAAGAGCAGGACAAAAGCCAGTCGAGAAGAAACGAAATCGGTTCAATGAGAGCGACTTGCAAAAAGAGAATGTCGACCTGCAAAAGAGAATTACCGATCTGGAGATAACTTTGAGAACAGCAGAGGACAAGGCGCGAGATGCTGAGATCGAGAGGGACGACATGGAGAAGAAGAATGCTCTCATACGAGAGGACATGATCTTCCACCAGACCAAGTGCTCAAAGCTTGAAGAGGAATGCAAAAACTATGAAAGAAGGATCCAAGAATTAGAAGATGAAGTCAAAGATCTTCTGAGTAAACTCGGAAGTTCAGCTGATTCTGGCCGAGATCTGAGCGAAGCTGACATGATTGCCAAAATCAATGCACTTGAAAAGAGAATTCAGACGCTGCAACAGCAAGTATCTGAACGAGACGACGAGATCGATCGGTTGAAGAAGCAATTGGGAGACCTGATGGACAGAGGATCTGGATCCGGAGAACTGGAAATCCATCTGGCGGAGATCAAAGACAAGAGTGAGATTTACCGCCAAGCTGACAAGGCCAAGCACGAAATTATCGAGAATATGAGAGCAGAGAAGACAGCCTTGGAAATAGAGATTGACAGCCTAAAAAGAGAAATAGCTGATTCAAAATCTTCTTGTGAAGAATACAGTAGGAACAACGACGAGCTTGAACAGGAAATCTCGGCTCTGTCTGCAGAAAAGATTGCCATGGAAAACAAGATTTATGAGCTATCGAATAGCTATAAATTGCAGATTGCAGAGCTGCAGAACGATAACGAGATTCTTGTTCATAAGAACGAAGCCATGGAAAAGATCGTAGTGAAGTACGAGGGACAGATTCAAGAGTTGAGAGAACGTCAGGCTCTCATTTCCGTTGACCAAGCTTCTACCACGTTGATTCTAGATGTTGAAAAGAACTCGCGCTTTTCGCGTCCACATTCCATATATGTCAGCCATGCTGAGGGTGAGATGGCGGCCGATGCATCTAGAAGGCGCATGAAGAATGATGACCAAATAAAGGCAAGTGAAGACTCTGTAGTAGTGGAGAGTAGCGTAGATAGATTGCAAAGCAGCCCCAGGATGTCTAGCACCAGAAATGAAGAGGCACCAAAATCCACTACTTCAAGCTATGATTCTGGTAAATATTCATCAAGAAGCAGTAGACCTGAAGAAAGAGGCTACCGATCTGGACGTGATAACAATGTTACAGCCGAAAGAGAAACAGCGAAAAAGGAGGAGACCTCACGAAGCAGGAGTGGACCACGCGTGGTAGATATCGGTGGCGACCGCGGCAGCAGAGAAGAAAATAGGAGGGAAGAGTCGTCAGGAAGGAGAGGTGGTAGTAGGACAGCAGCCAGTGACAAGGAGCAATGTAAACAAAGTTAAACCAAACTTGTGGTATTGCTTTAACGAATTTTATGACTGTAAGTGGTAAGGTGAGGGTACGCATTTAACGTTAAAACCTATGACAGATAATTTTAGACCTCTAATCAAAATCCTAGTTAAAGCAAAATTAACCAAATTTCATGACTTTACGTGGTACGGCCACGGTACACGTTTGACTGATATCTCGAACATCCAATCAGAATGCTAAGAGCACGCTCCGGGCATGCTAGCAGTCATATGAAGTTTGCTCTGGATTTCATACTTCGTTTATAACCATATAATTTTCAATTCTTTTCATGACCAATTTTAAAGTAGGCGACATCGAAATTTCAGTTGAAATAAATTTGATGTCTTTTGTTAAATGGCGAATTAATTTAGAATGTAAAATCATTTGTGTCTTTCACTTAATATTATAAGAACTTCTTTGCTTCATTTTTTAAAATTGCTTTCAATTAGATCTATATCAAAACCACAGTAATGCATCATGGGATGTCTTGGGGATAAGAATTAAAATATGCATAGTAAATTGCACATTAGCTCACTTTCGCTGTAGGTTAGGTAGGTAATGCAAGTTCTACAAGACAAGGTGATACTGTAGCATAGAAAATCCAATGAGTTGCACAACATGCATTCCTTTATGCTTGATTATAGCAGCACAACATTATGCTCAAGACAGCAAGACTATCTTTAGGGCCTCCTGATCATTATCAGTATGGTAATAGTACCCTGTCTAATGAAGGTGTCATAACCAAAACTACAGCAGTGATATAAAGAACCTCAATTTATAATAAAAATCAATATACACCACTCAGCTTGATTATTCGATGTATTAGTGATTAGTACATTTATATTAATAAAAGTTATTAAATTAAAGTGCTTCCATTTTTGTCCACAGTTAGGGGTGTAACGGGTGTGGCAATGGGGTGTGGGAACTACCCTATGCTTAAATACATTTGTTTTCTCAAAAGTGATTAAGGAGAAGACAAGTTATGCGGTATAAGGGATGACACGGAACAGTAGAGTGCATAGCTTTCTGTATAGGTATGAAACAAGCTCTGAAGAGGTGAAGAATGCAGTTAGAGGTAGGTGTACCTTTGTGAAATACAAGGAATCTTGTTTTTTTCTAGGAAAAGGGGGGAGCTTTCTGTACAGGTGACATGTCAGATTTTCTGTGAGGGCAGGGACAACACAATAGCATAGCCAATTACTGTGGGCCCCGTGGTATTAGCACGGGCACTGAAGATGGTCGTCTCCAGTGGATCTTTTACATCCACCTCATACAGGGTTATATAGTGAAGACAGACGGGGCCTACAGTTTTAAGTCCTTGACTAAGATGACTCGAAAGTCTAACCATTCTTAGATGTAATTACAACGGCAGCACTTTCTCCTTGGATATTTTAAGACCCCCCGAGTGTTGGTCCCGCTGAGGCTTGAACCAAGACCCCCTGCACAACAGACCAATTCTCATACCAGCTGAACTAACCAGGTGGGTATGGCACAATCTCCAAAGAGGGAGTGACACAGGCAGACAAGTATTAGCCTGCGTCACATCTAGAATTTTCTTTGTAAATACGAAAATTTGGGATGTGACGCAGGCTAACAAGTATGTGCTTGATTTATAAACCTGTTTACATTGGGTATACTGTTTTCATATTTCAGACCATATGTAATTTTCTTGAGAAAAAGATTATTTGTTTGAGTTGTATCCATATTCATTTGTCTTCTCATGCACAGACGTTAAACAAAAAAAAAAAAACAAAAAAAAGCAATGACACAGCAAAACCAACAAAATCATCTCTGAGCAACCTTTATTTTTTCTCCAAATATGTACAAGTTAAAATCTTACCTATGACAGAGAGAATTTTAGGATAGAAAATGGAAATAAGAAGTTTCAAAATTTGATTTTTTGATTACAGTGTGCAAGAATTACTATTCCATGTAACGCACATACAAAATGCCTTGTCAAAAATCAAAGCATTTTGAATAATATCTATTCATAGTTTATCTATCATAAAATAAATTACCAAGATAGTACTCTAATCAAAGGTTTTACGAATGAACAGGGTGTATAAAACAACAGTAGAAGAAAAGCTTTGGATGAGCAGTTTTCATAATCTAAATGAGATTGTAATACCTTGAATATAAATCATTTCTTTTTTTAAGAAATATGTTGGAGTAACAACAGCCCCCTTCATAGTTCCCTGTTCAATCTTAAAAGGTAACTGTGCCTGTACATCGGAGCAAGGACGGCGGTGACCATGCAATGATAGAGTCCTTTTTCAACACCTTGGGCGATTATTCATAAGTCTCTATCAATACAAGGTCATGGCTGTTCTCACTTCCACTCGGGCACTGCTACCTTTCCAAATGAAAGGGGACTGTTTGATAATTCAACTTTAATTGGGAATTAGGAAGTTCACATGTACTATTTGAATTTTGCCAGAAAATTTTTCATTGCACACTCTCGTGACTTCTAGTAGCACAAAGAAAAATTCTCAAAAGAAATTATGAAGTGAGATTAGAAACCTAACTAGTGCAAAAGAACTAATAATTATTTCATACTTTATAGAAATTCGAAGAAAACCTTTCATTAGAGCATCCCTGCCTTGGACTTTACCCCAAAGGAAAGTCTTGGTCGGGCATTTTTGGTTTTATTTAAAATGATCTCTTGTGCTGCTTGTTCTTGTTTGCGAATCTCTCTTTCAAGTCTACTCTTTTGCTCATTTAGGATCCCTTTCTCTCTTACCATGGACAGTCTCTCCTCGGCCTATAAGGAATATTAGTATAGTGTCAATATCAACCAGAATATAATAGATTTTTATTGTTAAAGTGGAGTTAAACAACGTAAGAAGTGGCCTTATCGAATGTGCCTCGACATACATTATACACCTGACACACTTTACGTCCGCCCAATAGAATTCCAATTTTTTATTTTTTTTGAAGCTTTAACTCCTCCAAGCTGAGGTCTTTCATATATTTACTACTTACTTACGAACAAAATGGTTTCTCGTCATGAAAGAATGATAGCACACAGACAAAAAATACTAAAGAACAAACCAAACTTGGGCCTGGTTGGGTGTGTTTCACGGCCAACTTTACATCCCTGTACGTACCTTCAGATGTGATAAAATTGATACTTAGTAGGGTTTAGATATGATTAAAATGTTAGGGGGTCAACCTCTAACTGCTGTTATTGTGAGGTGAGCAGTGTTTGATGATTAAACATGCTCAATCTTTAAAGAAAACTATAAGAAAGAAAGCTATCACTACAAAATACTAGCTCATAAATGTTATGGACACTAAAAAATTTAGCTTTGCTTTGTTCCTCGTTAAGCATCCAGGTACAACGTCTCAAGGGTAAAATATCTTTGCAAGATTATGACAAAACAAGGAATAGCTATGAGGGCTGACAACAACACAAAGTTGAACTAAATTACTCTATTTCCAAATGATATGACCTTAAGAATTTAAAAAGACTGTTAGTAGATCTAATGTAACCAGTTACCCAACCTGCACACTTTGCAGGAGGCCCCAGACGTGTTCGTACTTACCAGCCTCTGCTCTGCTTCCTCAATAGCTTTTTGTTTTTCAGCAACTAAATTCTGAAGTCTTTCTCGCTCTTGCCGTTCTTCAGCCTGTGAAATAGTTTGAACATCATGAAGAAGAAGAACCCAACAAATTGATATGTGGAGTTGTATGTAATATTAATATATTTGCATTACTATTATCCTAGTTGATAATAGTTGGTTATAATCACAAGGGGATAGCTACATGTTGGAATAAAGTAATTGTGCTTTTTATGTTCCTACTACCAAGAGAACTTCTAATGTGGCTTTTACACTGTATATTTTAGTTTCCAACAAATCAAAGTTACAACAGTCTAAGTAGTATTCTACAACTGTCAAATCTTGCATACTGATTCATGTTTGGGAGTGCGTGCTTTATAAGAACACACAGCATGCATGCACGCTTTCAGCTGCAACATTCCTATCTAAAATAATGGTGATTGTAATTTGTATTTTATAAAAAATAAGATAACTTGCTTGCTGTGCTGTGTGCAGTTAATGAAGCACTTGGGGATATACACTTAAGAGGTGTAGAGAGGCACTCCGTGCGGCAGCGGGCCTATTTTCTATTTCTTCAATAATTGATTGACCTATTGATATTGAAAACTCAGACAGAGATCTAAAAGTTGTCAAGGCTTTAGGAACATGAAAATGAGCTAAAATATATAACACAAGTGCCCTGCACACCCTTGTGAAACATTTCTCCAAGTTTGATACTACTTTATGCATACGTACATGAATACGTTTTGGTTTAACAATCCCTAATGCGACTGGTTTCTCTGTATTGCCATCAGCGTAGTGTCTAGATCTGCATCTTGCATTGCATGCCACTATTTAAGCTTCTCATAGTTTCTCAAGGAAATGTTTTTTGTTTTACATGACATTGAGGCTGAGAGGTCAACCATGTCAAAACCTCTTTGATAGATTTTCTTTGATACAGTTTTATAAATCTTTCAAGTCTTTTGAACAAAATAAACTGTCTTTGTTTTATTCCAAAGCTGTATAGAATAATCCTGATGCCGCAATAGTCCTGTTGATGGAACTTTTGTGAAATATACATGTAGATATTCAACATGATTTGACTATGTTGAAAACATGAAGGGCAACTTCAAAGTGGCAGGTAGCAATCTCTGTCTTAAGTTTCTCCCATAATTCTGAAACTTTAAGTAATTTTCAACTCCATATTCCTCACCAAACACTTGCTTTAACAAACGGTTAGAATAAAAAAAATTTTGTGAATATGTTTCTTTGGGCCAAAAAACTCCTAGTCATTCTTTTCGTATATAAAAAAATATTGATTTTCATAAAAATATTCTATCTGTTAACAAGTTTTTAAGTGTTTATAGCTCAAGCTCTACAAGTAATTTGTACAGGAATATGGATGTTGACTTCTTGCCGAAATTGCCCAACATGTTCACCAACATTAATTTAAGCTCTAATGTCTTTACCTCTCTTTTTTTTAATTCTTCCATTTGTTCTTGTTTTCTCCTTTCGAATTCTTCAAGCATTTGTTTTTCCATGACTTTTTTAGCTTCTTCCACGCGCCTTAAAACTTCGCTGTCAATTTCATCTTTTCGTTTCGCCAACTCTTCTTCTACTCTCTTGGCTACCATCTCTTCGACCCTTTTCTGAGTTTCTTCCTCAATTAATCTTTGTTCCCTTTCAGCTGCCCGTCTTTAAAAAAAAAAAGATTCTTCACATCAATTACACATGCAAAATTAGAGAATAAAACAAAAAGATTATATCTCATGGAAAAGTAGAAATGTGCAGCTACCATTGCTGCATTTAATTTATTGTCATGTCTCAAGTTGTAGTCTTATATATTTGCTAAGCTCCTTGTAAGTTATTCTATACATATGTACAACCTTGATTTAATGATGGTAAACAATTTCAGTATAATAAGCTATCACTGACTTCCAAATTTGGTCTGCCATCGGTCAAGTTAAAATTCACATCTCCATACGTCAGTAGTTAGTCTATTCGACAGCCGAACTTTTGGTTGGTTAATCATGTAATAGTGACGGCAAGACTAAACAGGCATGAAATATCCTCTAGAAAGCTTAAGCATGATCAGCTTCCATTCTCATAATTAGCTGAAACTGTAATTCAAGAAAGAAATATTCCATACAAAGAAAACAGTATGTGGTAGCAAACCTAACTAGACATTCTGGAGTTCTTAAAAGTTTAATTGAATACATTAAACTTAGTGTAGATTTGAATTCTTTCTCTTTTTAAAGCAATAGTGAATATAAAATAAACAAACTCTTTTATATATTATTTCAAAACCAATTAGATATTGGTCGTACGACATCACAATAAACAAAAGAGAGAATATCATATTATGACGCCCTTAGCCACTTGTTTTCAATATCAAATTCAACTGTATTATTTTACAGCTTGGGTGCTGGGTTGTTAAAAACGTGGTCAGCTGAACTTGGCAATGAAAACAAACCGGGTTTAGTTTAGTATTACATATATACCGTGGTATCAAAATTCTTCAAGTCCTCAAATGTAGAAAAGTAGTGGAAATTAGATTCTCAGTGAGATCTTAAAAATAATTATTTTAACCTGCTAGTAATGAAGCTTAAGTTTTATACACAGGACTTCATAGTTTACAAGCTTACATTTTCCTTTGCCTTTCCATTTCTAATAGTCTCTCTTGATCTTCCTTCTTTCTCGTTTCATCGTCTTTCCTCTTAGGTATAGTACGTCCAAATCTATCTACACTAGGAGAACGGCTTCGACTTCGACTTCTCGAGTAACGATTCCTTCGTCTTCTCGGAGAAGATCGGTCTTTTCTGTTTAATGGCGACCGACTTCTTTGCCTCGAGCGAGAACGACTATGACTCTTTGAACCTCGCTTTCTGTACGTCCTATCCTTTCGTTTACGACGTGGAGATGTACTTCGACTCCTAGAACGAGATCTAGACCTTGATACGGACCTACTTCGAGGCATTTTGAAGAGAAAACAGGAGATTTTTGACCCCTCTTCCTTCTTCTTCTGAAGCTAAATGTGCTGTTCTCAGTGAATCTGTAATGCCCCCTTTATTTCATGTCGGGGACCCCCACAGAAATACCCCAAAATTCGCTTAAAAATTTGAAAATAAAAACCACAAAAAAACTATTCCTTTCATCATTAACAAAAAGAAAGAAGGAATATTTCGTAATAAAAGAAGAAATGAAATTAAAGAGTTCTAAATCTTTCGATTTTAATTTCAAGCCCAACATAAAAACAACGGGAATCCCGCGGGTATTTTGTTATATATGCGCGGGATCGTCCAGGCCTTCTTCAAAGTTGCTATAGAGACTAGTAATCAAGATGGCGGATTCTTGTGTTTGAAACCCTGTAAAAGTTTAACGATAAGTAACCAAGAGAGCCAGCTCTTGTATTATATTTAAGATATTTTTGTATACATCTTAATGTTTTGGCGCTTGAAAATAGCTAAATTGTACAGAGGAATTTTGCTTGATCAAGTTTGAAAGTTGGTGTTCATGGGATTGTCGTGTTGTTGACATCGTTTACTAAGACATTAAGCAAGAAAAGAAATACTGAAAAAGCAGAGTAAATATGGATCCTGAAGCCCAAGAGACGGGAAGTGTTAATTTAAGTACTGGAGATGATAATTCTGATACAAATGCATTGGAATCAAGTCAAGCTGTTTCTGAAAAACATAAAAATGGCAGCTCGTCACCATCCGAGAATGGAGTTGATGGAGAGAGAGGCGCTGTCGACGATCATGGAAGTACAGGCTCTGGAGGAAAAGAATTTGACCCTGCTGAAATGGTTATTTATTTCTTTTTCTTTATTTTATCGTATGCACTGTTATATATGAAAGTTAAACTCGTATATTTTCAAATTAGGCGGGAAGAAAACCCGCCTTCTCTCAATCATTTAGTTGCAGAAGTGCTTGACGTCTTTTAACAGGGGCAACATTTCTTTGTCCTCCCCACCGCCACAGCTACTGTAATTCAAGTTATTTTGATGTTTAATTCATTGCGTACCAAATATTCAATGGTTCTTTTATTTCGGTTGTGCATTTTGAGAAATTGAGCAGCCACAATTAGGAATACCCCTCCCCCCTTAATTTTTGACAGGATGATAGATTTGTGCAGTGCCGTTACTACGTTGGATGAGTGTCCAAAGATTTTCACTAGATAATTTTAGCATAGAAATAGCTTTATAGTCATATAATAATAATGATAATAATAAATATGTTCTTATATAGCGCATTATAGACTCTCAATGTGCTAATCTAATAATTTTATCTCATAAAGTGATTTTTTTAAATAGATCTCAATGATTAAAGAAAGAGTAACATTGAGCTCCTTAACATCAGACCTCTGGACAACAGAACATGATGATACCATACTAAAATTCATTAACGATCCTAACTTACAAGTACTTGTTGCATATATGGACAAGCTTCTTGGACTACAGGTATCAACCTCAATACCTCCGCATCAAGTTGAAGAGCTAACTTACATTATACGATCAGAAGCAGCCATTCTCACTGCTGAAAACCTGGAAAAAAACCTCCAGTTTGGCACAGTTCATATGAATTATGTGGAAGGTTTACTGCGATTGATGTCAAATCTTTATGGGCCATTGTTTTTTGGAAAGATGAATTGGCCAGATAGTATCCTTAATTATACTGCATATCACAATTTATTGTTATATTGATTCAACTTACTACGTATACTGTAATTGGTTGAGAACTGTGCTTTATTAGTGAACAGAGTATAGAACTGACACCATTTATCTCCACAGCCAGGTTTGCAAAGAATAATTATGAGGAAAGAGTACTGAAAAATTATACAAGATTTTCCTACTATATAATAAACCAAATAGGGCAGCATTTTGTTCGCTTACAACCTGCATCCCATGTTTCATTGATTACCTACTTCTAAAAAATATCCAACTAGTTGGTTGATAGCTAAACTAAAGCTACTTACAGAACCAAAGTCCGTCAGTATAGTTATACACCTATTTAAAAAAACATCATTGCTAAGTGCAAAGGGCAATAGGTCATTCCAAGATGGAATTGTTTTCGTCAGCTATGAACAACATTGAATAAGTCTCAACACTAAGGTTCATGTTTCTCATGGGAATAAGAAGCAGAAACACAAGTCATTCCAGCTACTCTTGGATCTTGGAATGACCTATTGTACTGTATCTTCTATTGCTTTTCGCCTATCATCTATTGTCTACTGCCTTTGATGATGACACATTCAAAAAAATAAGTGTAAATCTTTATTTAAGTTTTCTTCTTGTTTACTTATAGTTTAGTGGGTTTAGTCGTTAAATTAACAGATGATAACTTTCAAGTCACTTGTTCCTTGACTCGTATCACTAGGCATCAAAAATGACTTTTCAGCCCAGGTTCATAAGTTCATGGCTAATCTAACAGACACCAGATACAAGATGCAGGGGAAAACAGTCTTATATGTACCAAATGAAAATACTCATCTCTCTAAAGAAGCAGCGGCAAAAAGCAAGGAGTTTGTCCAAAGACTAGAAAGTAAGCCTTCTGCTGCTGCTGTTGTTATTGTACACATACAGTAGATGCTGCTGTTGCTGATGTTGTTGCTGTTGTTGCTGTTGCTGTTGTTGAGCACTGATGTTGATGATGTTGTTGCTGATGTTGTTGCTGCTGGTTTTGTTGCTCTGCTGCCAATGTTGCTATTGCTACTGTGTTGCTGCTGCTGCTGTTGTTGATGCTGCTATAGTTGTTGCTGTTGTTATTGCTGCTGTTATTGCTGATGCTTTTGTTGATACTCTTGTTGCTGCTAATGTTTTTTCTGCTGTTGCTGCTGTTGATATTGCTGCAGCTGCTGTTGCTGCAGCTGCTGTTGCTGCTGCTGATATTGCCGCTGCTGATGTGTAGTTGTTGCTGCCACCTGCTGATGTTCTTGTTGTTGCTTCTGCTGATGATGTTATTGCTGTGCTTGTTATTGTAGTTGTTGCTGATGGTGGTGGTGGTGGTGCCATTTGTACTGTATGTTGTACTTTTGTTTCTGTTTAATTAAAATTGTGTAAATTAATTAAACCATTTTATTACCCAGCTGCAATGATTCACTGGACAAGGCAGATCAAAGAGGTACTCAGTAGCCAGGATAACTTTGAGACAGCCGAGAACTCTGGTCCTCTGGAAGAAATAGAGTTTTGGAGAAGCCGATGTGCTGATCTCTCAGGAATCAGTGAACAGTTGGACAAGCCTGGGGTCATGAGGATTCAAAGTATCCTAGAACTGTCAAAGTCCTCTTATGTTGCTCCATTCCTGAAACTCTCCAAGCAAATACAGGTACCTTAATTAATGGCCTTGCCACACAAAAACCATACACTGTTTAGACTTATAGTAATTTATAGCTTGGGAGGTGCTCAATGTACTGTAGACTGAATTTTAAGACAATTTTTTTTGTCAACCTCATGTTCGCACTTTTTCACGTTTATATTTTGAAAGAGCTCTTCCCTCTTGGAGGACACGTTATTAAATAAACTATTATTATCAAAATCATGAATAATTCATGAGGAAAACAACAGAAATCACAGCCGTGAAGAGTGTTGTAAATCTGATACAAAACTGTGTTCATTTGCATAAACTTTAAGTTGGATTTTCTTGGCCAAATTCACTTTAATTTTGAAAATTTTAGTGAAACACAAAGGAACTAACCTAGACGTCTGATAAGTCATATAAAGTATTCGTGTCCGTGTTGTATCAGATATACAATCACTCGGCTACGCTTCGTGGTTGTATATCTGATACAACACGGCCACTCATACTGTATATATTACTTATAACCCCCTTTGAAAATCTACTATAGTTTTGTGTTTTATTTTAACAGAATGGATCAGCCCAGGCCCAAAGCAATCTCAAATTTCTTTCAATCCTGAAAGCACCTTGTGAGGATCTTGCACAAGCTCAGCCTAAAGACATTCCTCCAATGCTCCCAAAGATCTTGAACAGCATTAGAGTGATATGGGTGAACTCTGAACATTACAACACTGCAGAAAGACTTACTGGACTCTTGAGAAAGGTCTGCATTAAGAGAATAAGCCATTAAGGGTTATTAAATGTTTTAATCGTCAATTAAGGATTGGATTCGTTGATTAATCATCAAGTAATCATCAATTAATCATCAATAAATGATTGCATTTGTTTAAATTAGGTGAGTAATGAGATAATCAAGAGATGCAGCACAAAGATTTGTCTGGATGACATTTTCGACGGTCGCATAAGAATAAGCATGTTAGGACTGCAGGAAAGCATAGAATGCTGTGAAGCCTGGAAGGAAATCTATGAAAAGGTATATATGTTTACCAAAAAGTATTCCCGCACTTGCATTTTAGTTCAAAGGATGACTTATAATAATGTCATGATGCCACAAGGGTGGCGCAAGTAAATTTGGAGAAGGAAGTAAAGTAATGTCATAGTTTATCATGTTCTTGCCCAAATTCTTCCTGGTTTACCCCCATAAAATCTCTAGATTTGTTTTTAAAGTTTTCCTGAAAACCTCAAAAAAATTAATTTGTTCTGCATTATTTTCATTTTAAATATTTCTTTTTTTATTCCAGATAAGAAGAATGCATGCCAAATTGTCTGGTCACCTTTGGATTCTTGACCAAAGCAGTATTTTTGCACAAGTTGATGCATTTGTACAAAGATGCAAGGACCTTCTTGAGGTAAATAATGGATATAATTGGCCTTTCACCATATGACCTTCTCTCTACCCAAGGTTAAAAATAAAGACATTGGTCAAATGACAATATCTGGAAAAAATTGGCACTTTTCTGGTCAAGCTCCTCCTGACAGGTTACATTGAGTATATATAATATGGCCAGTTATTATGTCTAGAACATCCTACCCCAGGGCCGGGTTGTTCAAAGCTGGATTAGCGCTAATCCAGGATTAACTGTATAGGTCTTATTAAGAATTAACCCAGGATTAGCACTAATCGGGCTTTGAACAACTGGACCCAGGAATTAAAATAATTGCGGGTCATTGGACGATGTCCAGCCAGTATTTTAATTTGTCCAGTCAAATCTTTGCATTGTCTGTCATTTTGACATTTTGATTTGGACCAGCATCTGACCTACCACTGACCACCCCAAAGGTATGATCATACCTATTTCTTCTGATTTCAAATGTATGAGACACTGAAGATGGAAGAAAGTTGAATATTACAATTGGGTTTCCCTTACTTTTTAGGTTTGTGAAGGTCAAATGCACTTTGCCAGAATGTATGATGGTGAAAAGGCTCCACTGCCTTGCTTCCATGGAGTGAGAGGACCAGAAATTGTCAGAAGTCTGCTGGAGATTGAAGCAACATTTGAGAAGAACCTACAGATTCTCAAAGCTGTCAAGAAAACGATTCTCGATGTTAAGGTATAAAGTAGTGAGCATCTTGTTAGTTAACTCTCTTTTGTTTTCTCTTTTGTTTTCATCTAGTCATTAATCACTTATGCATAAAGTTTTTCCAACCAAATGTTGAGAAAATAATTCTTTGTTCAAGTTATATCCATATTCATTTGTCTTCTAATATGCAACCGTTAAACAAAGAAATGATTCTCTAGGGAATAACACATGGGCTAAAATAAATTACTTACACCCAAGCTAAAAAGGTCTTACTATTAATTTATTAATTTTTTTTTTGAAACATTTCTTATTTTTAGGCAACGACTTGGCATGATGATTTTAACAGGTAAACATACATCTAATATTGATCTTAATTTTTTTGCCTGAATCCCAAAGGATATTATATGAATGAAAATGCACATTTTTCATTGGACAGATTCCGAGCTGGAGTCAAGGATTTAGAAGTAATGGTTCAGAACCTGATTGCATCAGCATTTGAGAGTGTTACAACAGTACAAGAAGGGCTAGAGATTTTGGATATTTTCCAGCATCTGTCTTCTAGAGAGGTAATTAATT